TCTCTCCTTGTGTCTGTTTGATCGTTAGCCTTCTGATTCTTTCTCTTTCTTTTCTTTTTTCTGCAGGTGATGACGAACAATGATGGTGGAAGCGCGATGGAGATATTAGAAGATGAAGACGACAGAGGATCTGAAGTGTGGTGGAGAGATGGGAGCGGTCGCCCGATGACGGAAACAAGCCCTCATCGCTTTTCTTCTTCCGCAACACTAATCTTTTTCTGTTAATTTTTTTGTAATTCTTCCTCTCGTCCCCTCTTTCTGTTCTTCTTCTTTCATATTTTATAGTGAATTGGGGTTTATGTATTAGGAAGCAAATTAATTTGTTTTATTGTTCTTTTAGTATTTTAGGAAAGTTATGAATCTGTCTGTAATTTGTTCATTTAGGGTTTTCAATTTTGGAAATGACAATGATCTTTGTTTGTAAACTGTGTAAACACCCTTAATTTGTTTATGTATTAAGCAATTACAGACTTGAATGATGATAATTTTGTTTCTGTTTCTGTATTAAAATTGAGATTCGTTGCTGTTTTTGTTTTGGATAAGTTGCTGTTTATACTTGATATTGTTTATGTATATTTGATTTAGTGTAGATTTGAATTGAAGTTGTTTAACATGAAGTGTGCGTTTTAATTTTCACAATATAGGTTTGTTTGATGTTTTTTGGGCCAATCGTTTTTTTGTTTTATTTTGGACAAGGGCCTGAAAAGAGATCGGACCCAGTATTCAGTAAAGCCCTTTTATTTTCCAACCTAACTTCATTAGTTAAAACAGACAAAATTCTTAATTAAGTATTAAAATGATTGACAATAATAATTAACACAAATTCAAAAGTTAGAAGTTGACTCTTAATCATACAAGAATTTAGGCCAAAAAACTTTTTATGGGCCATTTGAGAAAAACGTGAATGGGTTGTACTTTCTATTTATTATTGGGCCTTAACAACAAGCAAAACTAAACTATCTATACACCCCTTCTTTTAAAATGGGCCATTTATTTCCTGAATTTGGACTGGGCCGGTTTATGTGGGCTAAGAGATAAAAAAGAAAACTCTTTCTGCTTTTCAATCTAACTTTAATAATCAAGTTTTATAAAACAAAATCAAAGTTTTTATTATAAAAAACAAAAAAAATCAGTAATAATAAAATAATAATATTACTAATAATGATGTTATAATAATAAAACAAATTTTCACAATAAACCAAAAAAAGTTAGTTTGGGTCAAAAATCTTTTTATGGGCCATTTAAAAAAATGTGAATGAGCTTGATAAAAAACACACCTCTCTCTTCTTTACTTGAAAAGGACTTTCATTAAAGTCTAATGGGTCATCAGATATTGATGGTCCATTTTAGATTGATACACCCCTCTCTGATTTTAAACATCCCTACAGAAATGAAAACTATATAATATGACTTATTTAAAAAGAAACCTAAATATAATATAAGAGTATGGAAAATTTGGGGTATGAGAGCTTGTTAGAAGCATCTTTGTATACACATCTTTGTAAATCAACGATTGTTGATAGGTTCCTTGAGATACTCAGTGAGTCCAGATTTTCAATAAGACTTTGATTGCGGTCATCATAGATTGACAATAAGGATCAACAGACTTATTGGGGTTGTCAACAAGGTTGATATGACTTATTGTAATTGTCTGTAATCGGTTGATTATAGTAGATTAAGTCCTTGTGGATAAGGCAAATCACCTTGCGGGATGGACCGAAGTAACTTAGTTAATAGTGAACCAGGATTAAAATGATCGAGTTCATTTATTTTTATTTACTTGTTAGTCTTGTGTTTGAGTTGTGAAAAAATTATATTTGGTACAACTCAATTCAAACCTTCATTTCTTGTGTTTCTCGCACCTTCAGAATAAGGATAAAGGGAACATCTGAGATTGTTATTTGGCCCTGTTTTACTGCGAGTAAGTGTATATTAATTTATGTTTTCATTTATAAATCAATTTTATCCGTATTATTAATTATTCTGAATTGTTATGCAGTCAACATTGACAACCACTTATTATATGTCCCAGGAGAAATATTATAGTTGTGTTTTGCTCATTGCACTCTTGACTATCCGAAGTTGTGAATAAAACTTTGAATGGGTAAGTGGTGTTAATTTTATACTCGAATATTAACTTTAGAATGAAATAATTTTTATTCATGTTTAATTTTAACTGACATGCATGTGTAGAGCAGTAGAAGAATATAATGCACTCACACGAAATTTACTTGGTAAAAAGTCAACATATGTTAACCTAAAAGTAAGTATAAATTACTTGTGTTTTTTAACACTATATTGTTTGTGTGTATTAGTGTGACATAAAATATGAAAATCATATGTAGTGGCCAAAGAACCCGACAATCATTTTTTTGGATTATATGTTATGAGATATATGCTCCATATTGTCTCCGGAGATATTACAGAATGATTGATGAAGAATAAGGTATTAGCTTAATCCATGGCCATATATACATATGTATACTTCTTAAATTAATCTTATTATTTTTAGCTTATCATAATTCAAATTTTGTTCTAATTATAGGAGTTTAACAACCAAACACAATACTCAAAAGAAGATATGGATAACATCCGGTCACGTTGGGTTAGTGACTTCTTATCTTCTTATGAATCTTGACGACAACGATAATTTTTCTTGATTTGTTGCAGTCTTAATTTGTATATGAATAGAGGATTTATTATTTTGATGTGTAAATATGTAAATGTCATATGTGTATATTCTGTTTTGACGATAACAATGTAAATTTGTACATTTGGTTTAAAATGATATGATATATTCCAATTTTGTTGCATATCTTGTAGTTTATGTGTTAAAAATGATACATGTTAATAGATTTATAACAAAATGATACATGTCAGTGAAAATGATACAGGCAAAAAAATTATATAGACCAATGAGAATGATATAGACCAATGAAAATGATACAGACAAAAAATGATTTAACAACTCGGTTATTAAATAAAACCAAGAGTTATACGACGCGCGCAACAAAATTTAGAAAATAAAAATATACAGTTGTTGGAGATCGAACCTATGACCTTTAAATTATAACCTCATTTTTAAAAACACCAAGGTGTTAAGTGCTAGCTTTTCACGTCACACTTTGTTACATCACTTGAATAGTCGAGATTAAACGCATTTCGCAATCGATGTGACATGCGTTATTTATAGTAGTAAATAAAATTCATTATTGTTTTGGTCATATTACATACATACATTTTTAACTTAATGTTTGGATCAATGCATATTATCAATGCATATTACTATATTAGATTGATGCATATAATGATTTTAAATTTGTAACTATGCGAATGTGCTAATGAACTGAATAAATGAATTCAAACTTGATAAATGAGAGTGAGTGACATGTAATGTGAATTCAAATGATATTTGTACAATATCACATATATTTTACTAGTTAAATTATAAAAATGATAATAAATTTGACAATATTATGATCTCCATTTTATAATGGGTCGGCATATAGTAATAAAAATAAATAAAATAAATATTAATTGGGTTTGGTCGAGTTCAATTTTCAAAGGTTCTAAAATAATCATAGAATCCAACTGAAACAACTCTATATTATCTAAATTAAACAATTGAATCAACCTGACATTTGATCAGACTCAATCCGTTTACACAAAAAAGACAATAGATTTATTGGTTTCAATTTCAATGTTTAAATTTACTCATCGTGATCCCCTTTAAATGTAAATTATTGAATACTAATAAATGATAATAGAGTTTAATGAAGATGCACTCACATTATAAAAAAATGTTAAATATGTTTTTGATCCTTATAAATATCTCAAATTTCATTTTTAATTCCTATTAAAAAATGATAAGTTTTGGTCCTTAAAATTTTTTTGCTCATCCCGTTTTAGTCTCTGCTATTTTTTAAAATTTTAAAAACTCTTTAATTACCCTTACACTTTTAAAATTTTGAATAATATTTTTCATACTTGTTTACAATACCATAAAATATTTTTTTAATCAAATTTTAGAATTTTTTAAAATGAGAAGAATTAAATATGATTTTTTTTTAAATTCCAAAAGATATTGATAAAAATAATGAAAATCTTAACTTAGAAATTAAACTTTAAATTTCTTTTTTTCTAAGAAATTTTTTATAACGTTCTAAACATGTTTACAAAATAATCATTCAAAATTACACATTAATTTAACATCAAGGACTAAAACTACGTGCATAATAATTTTATAGAGACTAAAACATGTCATTATTTTAATAATAACTAAAAATGAAATTTGAGATATTTATAAGAACAAAAAAATATATTTAACCCTAATTTTTTTTTACTTTATCATCTAATACAAATACTCTTTCCAGTCATAATTATAAGCAAAATAATTATTTTCACACAGATTAAGAAAATTAGTTAAATGTAATTAATTTTCTTGATTTTATGTCTAATCAAAGTAAAATTTACTTATAATATCCTTAATTATATTTGATAAATCAACAATCAACATTAAATATTTTTGAGTTAAAATAAAAGTATAATAATAATAAAAACATTAATTAATTCAAAATTTAAAATCCTTTTTTTTTTGTTTATAATAGAGACCAAAATTTAACATCATTTTTTTTTTTTGTTTATAATAGTGATTGGAGAGAGAGTATATATAAGTAATTTAAAGATTTATCATTATGTGATATTATATAAGTAATTTAAAAAATTAAATGTGATGTGATGAAATAAATGATTGTGATTGATTGAGTTAGCTTTAGTTTTTTTACATCTTTACCTTACGCGGCGGGTAAGAAGCAAAAGCATCAAATTATATGAGCGATGATGAGGCGAAAGTAAATTTGAAAATTTGATCGATAAAAACAAACAAAGGCCAGAAAAGGAAAAAGGAAACGAAATTGAATTACTGACCCAATTCTGAATTCTCAACACTTGTTTTCGATTTGATTCCACCCACATTCCCATCAAATCATCACTGCATGATAATGACTGATCGTGAAAAGCATTCGATTCTTATGGTCTCCGATTTTTTCTACCCCAACTTCGGTGGCGTCGAGAATCACATCTATTACCTCTCTCAATGCTTGCTCAAACTAGGCCACAAGGTTCTCTCTCTCTCTCTCTCTCTCTACCACTGTTTTCATATTGTTGCTTGAACTGGGGTTTATATACTACAAGCATTCTAGGTTTGCCTATTCGGATTCACTTATGCTGGTACGCGTTGTTTTGTTGTTTTTACTTGAATGATCAGGTGGTGGTTGTAACTCATGCTTATGGAAGGCGGTCGGGGGTTCGATACATGACAGGTGGTTTGAAAGTGTACTATGTTCCATGGAGGCCATTCTTTAATCAGAATACATTTCCAACTTTATATGGGACACTGCCCATTATAAGGACTATTCTTATTCGAGAAAGAATTAACATTGTGCATGGACATCAAACCTTTTCCACACTTTCTCATGAGGCTCTTATGCATGCAAGAATCATGGGATACAAGGTTGTGTTCACCGATCATTCGCTCAATGGTTTTAGTGATTCCGGAAGTATTCATATGAACAAGGTTTTGCAGTTTACCTTGGCGGATGTCAGTCAAGCTATATGTGTTTCTCATACAAGCAAGGAGAACACGGTTTTGAGATCTGGTTTGGTGCCCCACAAGGTTTTTGTAATACCTAATGCTGTTGATACTGCTGTCTTTAAGCCAGCTTTCCACCGTCCTAGCCCATTGGAGATTGTCATTGTTGTTATCAGTCGATTGGTTTACCGTAAAGGAGCCGACTTGCTTGTTGAAGTCATTCCAGAAGTGTGCCGATTGAATCCTAATGTGAGTTGATCTAAACACTATCAGGTGTCACCTTGTTTGCATTGTGAAATATAACAAATTTGCACCTAGATTTCTCTCTCATGTCGATATAATGGCCCCTCTTGAAATGCTTTGCCTTTTTGTCCTGTTGGTGTTTCTTGACAGGGAAAGTTGCAATTTTCATGTTTGATAAATTATTGTCAATGGTGCCTTTTCCAGTTCCACCTAGCGGGATAAGTCTTTTTTGTTCTTGTCGTTTTGCTGATGTATAAAACATACTGTTTTTAAAAAAATCTAGTCGGTAACTTTTCTGCGATCCTAACTTCAGATTTTCCTCATTTAGTGCTATATCTATTGAATCCTCTATGTTCTAGCCTTTTCAATGTTACATATTTCTTATTCTACAATCTTCTATGTTCTAGCCTTATCAATGTAATCTTACATTTGACAAAAAAGTTATATGCTGATTTATGCATCTCATTTGAAGGTTCGTTTCATTATTGGAGGTGATGGGCCTAAGCGTGTACGGTTGGAAGAGATGAGAGAAAAGAATTCTCTTCAAGATCGAGTTGATTTCTTGGGAGCTGTACCACATACACAAGTTCGGTCTGTTCTAATATCTGGGCATATTTTCTTAAACAGGTTTGGCTTCCTGGAAAAGTTCTTTCTTTAAATTTTACAGTATTAATTCACTCTCCATCATAACTTGTAATTATATGTTGGATCTTCTACACTAGTTCTTGCTATTGTTATATTCTGCTTGACATTCACTGCCATACAAACACTTCTGGTCCTACAGATACACAGCCGAATTTTCCTTTTAGTGTTGAGAATGATCTGCTTATTTTTTTGCTTTTAAGTGGTTGAAACTTGAAAAGTAAATTCGCTAACTTAATTTTGATGCAAATCAACTCATCAATATTTTCAAATCTTTTGCCGTTCTCGTCTACCATCATACTTCTCAGTTCTAAGGTTTGAGACAAATCTTTAAGAAATAAGGAGAAATCTATGATTTGAGTGATTGATTCTACAAATCATTAAAATGTATGAAAAGAGAAGTTTAGTTTTTTCCCTCTATGGTTGAGAGTGATGTTCCATTCATACAATTTCAGTTCAGCCTCAAAAGCTGCACAGTTTAGATTAACAGGTACTTTGTGGCCCTCAATAACTATTTTATAAACCCAGGGGAATTGGTAAATTAATGTCATAACTCATTGACCTCCAAAGCACCTGTTGCTGTTATTAACCTTCAGTATTTCAAATTTCACCTAGCATGTTTATAATAATGTCGACTTGACAGACACTTGCCAATCGAAGAAGAAATGTGCACTAGTTTATAACATGACCTCTGGAGCAAAGGGACACCATTTGACCCAAATAATCCCCAAAATAACTAGTGATTGTTGATACTTTCTACTTTTTGTTTATGTACCATTATTGGTTAATGTAGCATGCTGACCTATGTCATGAATCCACTTCAAACAGTCAATATCCGAGACAAGCTAGGTTGAGTCACAAATACATGTTTTCTGATTCTCTGTTATTGATTTGAAGATATTAAGGTTATGAACTTTATCATTCTGAGGTGTATCCGATATTATTTATTTTGTATTTTTCGTCCTACCTGATCTTTGCACTGTTACAGTTCCTTAACCGAAGCTTTTTGCATAGCCATATTAGAGGCGGCTAGTTGTGGATTGTTAACTGTCAGCACGCGCGTCGGAGGTGTTCCTGAGGTAGGGACCACAGATTTTCTTTCTATTCTTCTTTGATATATAAACGCCTTTTATGTAGTTTTTCTTCGGGAATTTCTCTTATGCAAGCCAATTTCTTCTCAATTCCATGGTTTTGGAATACTAGCATGCGGGGGTTGATATAATTCACTTCCATGGTATAGGTTGTACCAGATGACATGATTGTTTTGGCAGAACCTGATCCAAGTGATATGGTGCGCGCAATCCAAAGGGCGATAACTATGCTGCCTAAAATTGATCCTCAAGTCATGCACAACCGAGTGAGTTCGTAGTTCAATTGACCCTTTCCTTTTGCTTTCACCAGGTAAACTAATTACTTAATCTATTGATTTATTTTCTGCAGATGAGGGAACTCTATAGCTGGCATGATGTTGCCAAAAGGACCGAAATTGTATATGACCGTGCATTGAAGTGTTCCGATCAAAACCTACTCGAACGTCTCCCACGGTAAACACTTTCATAGATTCAATTTGATTCCAATAGAAACATTTAGTTATAAAACAAAATCCACTGGTCATTCTGTTTCAATCATGTTTAGATACCTCTCTTGTGGAGCATGGGCAGGGAAGATCTTTTGCTTGGTTATGATCTTCAATTTTTTGCTATGGCATCTACTGGAACTATGGCAGGTATAATAGACTTGAATAGGGTTGAACATTTTTGCTTCATGATCATGTTTGGTGAGTTTTCTTACTTTTGTTGTTTTCTCTGTTTCATTATTAGCCTGCAGATGGAATCGAGAAGGCGCCCAATGTTATTCTCTCGCGCGACTACAATGGATTAGAGGAATGTTGCAGAAAACACAACAATGCAGAAACTCACAAGAACAGTAGAGATAGTAATAGTAATATTTCATAGGAAAACATATTTTGTTGTATAAAAAAATCATTGAGGTGAGAATTCTGATTCATCATAGATTAAGCTCTTTATGAAATTGTGAAGAATCCTAAATCTAATCAAGAGGGTCTTTGGTTTTTTTTCTTTATTGATCAGATTTGGTTTAAGATCATAGATCAATTATGATAATAAAAGTGTCGTTAGATTGTGCATACGTGTTGTGTGATACTATATTGAAAAATAAATGAAAGTCGTGTGTTTTGAAATGTTACTTTTTTGTCCTTATTTTATGGATGGATAACGAGGAATAATATTCTGAAAGGTTAATTAAAATTAAAGAATCAATGTTTAATATTTTAAAGTTGATTATTATTATTATAAGAATCTGTTTAATATTTTAACAGTTACTTGTATTCAATTAAATGCACAGTTCATTTTCATTAATCACCAAAAAAATTGTTGTCTTGAAATAATATTTTCACACTTTAAAAGTAGCTTTAAAAAACAATTAATGATAAAATGTCTTATGTGTATATAGACTTTATAAACTTTAATTTAATGAAATGAAACAAAACAAGTATTGTTAGTTTCAGATCTCATTGGGAAAGGAAGGTTCCAGCATCAAGCAATTTTCACTTTATTCTCTTTCTCTCTCTAAAGGGTGCTTCAGGTAGTAGTAACAAATAACAACATAGATATACATCGATATAGGATTTTAAAGATTGTAACTTTCCACTCAGAATTTTCAACCTTCTAAAATCAAGATTCAATTCAAGAAACAAAAAACCCTCAATTTCTTTAGTCTTAGCAACTTCAAATTTAAAGTCAAACCCATTTTCCACATCCTCAAAAGTGAGGAACTTCTCTCCCACTGCACCAGTAAGCCTCCAGATCTATCTTTTCTTTCATTCAAATTTTCTTGCTTTTTTTATGCTTCCATTCAACCTTAGATCTTGTTCTTCTTGAACTGTGTATTAGAGACTTTTATGATATTTTTTTTTTATATTAGAAATTGCTTTTGCTTATTGATTTTAGTTATGATATTTGCTAATATGGGAACTGATTTATGTGCAAGTCAAGTCAAATATTCAATTCAACATGTGTGGCTGGTTTAGCTCAAAGTTGTTGTGTATAGGATTATTAGCTTTGGAATTTGGATCATTACTGCCACTTGTGTGGCTAAGATTTGAAGTCTCATTTATGTTTAATTTAGATGCATTGTTTTATGTATGTTTATTTGGAAACTGTTCGAATTAGATATATACGAAGCCGATGATGGTGAGGCAGATTATTGATTTTTATAACTTGTTTGACAATCTTCCCATGTATGGTAATGAATATTCTTTTGATATTTGATGCGCGTCGTACCGAGTAGTGGTACTGTATATTTTTGCTATCTACTGCTGTCATATGGGTTTAAATAATAACAATATCATTAAGTTTGGTTGCTGACATTTAATGTATGTTGAATAGATTTGAGGAGTCTCCAAGACCGCTATGGCAGATTTGGAAAATTTGCTTTTGGAGGCTGCAGGAAGAACTGGTGCAGCTGGGAGAAATCGGCATTCTCTCCCATCTTCGAGGAGACGACGCGATGGCTCTTATTCGGATGGTGGGAGTGATTCTAGGGATGATGATTCAGATGATGAACTAAATTATGCGAGCAGAAAGCCATCTGGGCCGCAAATTCCTCTGAAAAAGAGATTAGATCCGGCCGACAGAGATGATGAGTTGGGCAGTCATGAAGAAGCGGATGATGGGCGGAGCGACGGTGAAGGCGATACGAGTGATGAGTCAAATATAGGCGATGATCTTTATAAAGATGAAGACGACAGGCGAAAGCTTTCTGAGATGAGTGAACTTCAAAGAGAGATGATTTTGTCGGATAGGGCTTCCAAAAAGGACGATAAAAGCTTATTGGGAAAGATAGCATCAAAGCGTGAGAAAGGAAAGGCAGTAATGACTGGAAAGCAGTCTCCCCCGCTGTCATCCTCTCGCATGCGAGCATCAGCCAGATCTGCTGATAGGTCAGCCAAGAATGAAGCATTAAATGAATTACGAGCAAAGCGGTTGAAACAACAAGATCCAGAAGCTCACCGTAGATTGAGAGAGGCGTCTAGAAGCTCAGGGCCACGACACTTTTCCCCGCCAAAGCGCAAATCTTTCACATCAGCTAATCTCAGTAGTTCAAGCCGCAGTGATAGTGAAAGTTCTCAGAGCGATGATGAAGGATCAACTGGGGACGGAGGAATTGCTGACAGTGATGATGATAGGGCATCTGGCCCCGAGGGGCCATCCTTTCAGAATATAAAGGAAATAACTATCCGCAGGTCAAAACTTGCGAAATGGTTGATGGAGCCTTTCTTCGAGGAGTTAGTAGTTGGTTGCTTTGTAAGAGTTGGAATTGGTAGATCAAAAACCGGACCTATCTACCGGCTCTGTATGGTGAAAAATGTGGATTCCTCAGACCCTGATCGACAGTATAAACTAGAGAACAAAACTACACACAAGTATTTGAATGTTGTTTGGGGAAACGAAAGTTCTGCTGCTAGATGGCAAATGGCTATGGTAAGCGACTCTGCTCCACTTGAAGAGGAATACAAACAGTGGGTGAAGGAAGTAGATCGAGGCGGTGGCCGGATGCCAAGCAAACAGGATGTGTTAGACAAAAAACAAGCTATACATAAAACCATTAATTTTGTCTACTCTGCAGCTACTGTGAAGCAGATGATACAAGAGAAAAAGTCTGCCTCGTCAAGGCCGCTAAATATTGCCGCCGAGAAGGATCGACTAAGGAGGGAGTTGGATAGAGCACAAAGTAAGAACGATGACGCAGAAGTGGAGAAGATCAAGACAAGACTTCTAGAATTAGAGGCATCTAGACATACAAAGGTGAAGGACGCCAAAGCTCTGAAACTGGCTGAAATGAACAGAAAAAACAGGGTTGAGAACTTCAAGAATGCTTCTGAATTAAGGCCAACAAAAACCGGTTTGAAAGAAGGGGACGCGGGTTATGATCCATTTTCAAGGAGGTGGACAAGATCAAGAAACTACTATGTTGCGAAACCCGGTGAAAAAGCTGCCGCTGGAAATATTAGTGCCGTTGGTGTAGTTGCTGATGCAGGCAGCAACGGAACTGGAGTACCAGTAACTGCGGAGTCTGGTGTCGTGGCTACTGCCGCTGCCTTGGAAGCTGCTGCTGATGCCGGGAAGTTGGTGGATACAAGTGCTCCAGTGGATCAAGGGACAGAATCAAACACGCTGCACGGTTTCGAGCTGCCAATCTCATTAGCATTACTTCATAAGTATGGAGGAGCCCAAGGAGCTCAAGCTGGGTTTATGGCAAGAAAACAAAGAATAGAAGCAACAGTTGGATTTAAAATTAAGGAAAATGATGGCAGGAGACATGTACTGACTCTATCAGTTGGTGATTACAAAAGAAGAAGAGGGCTTCTCTGAAATTTGTTACTGCGGTGCAGAATCTAGTTGAAGTACGTCCAAGGTTTATCGATCCAAGTACGATTTTTATTGACTGTCATCATATTGTTGTAACCTTATTATGAATGTTGAACTTTTTATAAGTGGTCATGTTTCCACATGCTTTAGTCTTAAACAATAAATTCAAGATAACAATGTAATGTACTATATGATTCGACAATCGCATTTAACCGGATGATTAGAAGTTAAAGAGAGGAGAATTGCTGCAAGATATCTCTCCTGCTGATTTCATTATTGTCTAGAAAACTTATGCGTGTTTCAATTTTATGTGTAATCTTTTCTAAGCTCTTTACTTTTCTCATTTTCTGGTTTAGGAATGTTGTCCCTAGATTTTGGTAGCATCCATCTTCATTTGTGAATATCACAGTGCTAGTTGTTTGGCCGTGACTTTTTCATTTAAAACTCAGCTTTATAAGTTCGGTTTAATTTAATAAGCATATTTTACCACTTGAGTTACACATTTTGTAAGAAACAAAAAGTTCCTCTTTAAATAATAGCCTAGTATTTATTACTTGACTAAATTGTTGTGGAAAAAATGGATTTTCATTATGATTTTTTAAATTTATTTTGGTTACAAGTTAACTGAATTTTAAATCGTCTATGTTTGTATACAGTCACGTGTAAAGGCAAATTAAACAATAAGGATAAAAATCACAGTTTGAGGCTAAATTTCCAAATTACAATTTCAATCTAAAATCAATTTTGATGTAAAAGTAATTTCACTCTTAACACACTTTAAGGTCAACTTAATACTCTAAAATAATAATCTTTTACACCTAAATGTGAATTTGCTCAAATTTATACTTAAACAAAAATGATTTATAAATATAAAGGGTACAGAAATCAAAGCCAGCAATTCATTGACAAGATGCATAACATTTGTGGTTTTTCATTTCAAGTTAACCATTATCATTTATTATGAAACTTTATCAATATTTTTACAACAAAAAACTTACACTAAAACGAAATTAAGAATCCATTAGAGCTTCACATTGACCATTCTCCCAGGACTTTTATCACAAGAATAATTTTTAAAACTATAAACTAAAATGAGAAATAATTCATTCATTATCCTTTTACTTAAATGTTTCCTTTTTTAATGTGTAACAGTTTTAGTATTAAATTGAACTAATACAGAAATTAATAATAGTCATCAAGCCCGTCTAGCTCAGTTGGTAGAGCGCAAGGCTCTTAACCTTGTGGTCGTGGGTTCGAGCCCCACGGTGGGCGTTTGTTTTTGCTATTTTGCTAATTACGCCTTAATAACGGTCAACATCAACCTGAAATTAGTAAATACGTTTTTATAACCAGAAAACAAATTATTGTTTTTTGATTAAAGATTAAACAATGAAGTAAAGTATTAGTTACTACAATGTAGTTACAACAAAAACAACCACAGTAAAAAAACGTGTGTACTGAACCACTCAATCAGCTTCTTGCAACCCACCTAGAACAACCGACCCAGCGAACAAACCAACCGCGCCGACACCAAGAGCCGCCGCAACGATGGTCTGAACAACAACCAGAGCAGTAGAATCATCCGGAATCAGAACAACCGTCGCAACAGCCGCAACAAGAGTAGGAAGCGACAGAGAAGCCAAAACAGAGGGAGAGACAGTAGCGAGTTTCTCCAATAAGCTTAGTAAACCAAGCTCTTCAGCCTTAGAAAACAAACCTAACTTCTCAATAGAAGATAGCGTTACGCCTAACTCCTCAGCTTTGGATAACAACCCTGCTTTCTCCACGTTGCTCAAAACTTTCCTCTTCTCAATTTTCTTGAATACGTCCACTTCTACTTCTTCGCTTCCCTCGTAGAATATCCCCGCTCCAAACCATTCTTTCTTCCAGTTATCGTTGTACTTATTCACCTTCCACATTCAATTCTCCTCAAGTCAATTCAATTGATAGGTCCGACTATAATATCGCAGGTTTGAATCCGCGCTTAATCAGTTCAATTTATAATTGTGCAGACAGAGATATCGTGTGCAGATTTTGAATCCGCAACATCTCTTATTTATATTTAAATAATAAAATTTTAAAAAATAAAAAATGATTAAAAAGATGTCTATAGTAGTACCTTGTTTTTGGGAGCCATGGCGACGACGGTTAGAGGTAGTTTATTGTTACGGGAGGGAGTGAGGAATGAGGTTTGGTGTCGGAAGATACGGTTGTTTGTGTGAAGATCACGGAGGCAGAGAGGTGAGGTTGGAGCAGGCACCGCCATGGATATATGATTGAATGGTGATGCGCGCGCTTGAATCACAATCTCAACTGCCACGTCGGATAATCGACGGAGTAAAGTAGTGACATAAACTTTTTGTTGTTGTTTGGTTAAGGGAGATTTTGCTGCTTCACTTTCCACCACTCATGTTGCTCCTCTCTATCTATCATCTTTTCCTTATCTATGTTACTTCAATTACACTCATTTTTATCTTTTAAATTCATCTAAAAATTATTCTCTTCAATTTTTAGATATAATAATTAATTAATTTTTTTAAAAATAGTCAAATTTTAATACTAAACTAATCAACATTTTTTCATAATTTCAACTTAACCATATTTCAAAAAAAAAATTAAAGAGAAGGCAAGTGAGAGCTTTCTATATCTTTTTCAAAAATTTTCAATTATCTGCAGATTTTCCTGCAGTTTTATATTATCTGTGAATTTTTTTACAGATTTATTGCGATCATATCTGCAGGAAAGTCCACAGATAAATGAAAAATTAAAGAAAAAAAGATGTCAATTCAAGTGGTACTTCATTTTTAATTCACTTTTTTGTTTCGTTTGAAACATGGTTAGATTGAGAATTATTGGAGAAAGTTTGTTAGTTTAGTATTAAAATTTTAAAATTTGATTATTCTAAAAATAGTTATTACTTACTTGGTCTAACTAAGAGTTAGAATACGGCATGACATCATGACATGTTAAACTTATAACTCATTTACCCTTTAATAATATTTTTAAAATATCTAGATATTGTTGATGATTAGGACGATAATTTTAACTATTTTGTTCTTTCGGGTTTCACGTTTGAGAGATTATGTATATCTTAAATATCATTTATTAGTTATTTAACGGGATATGATTGAAGTAGAATAACTTGAAATAGTTTTAAATGATCAGTCTAAGGCAAAGAAACATGGATTTTAATTCTCTTTTATTACTTTTCACTATACAAGGGGTGTGTAGCGAAAAGACTTTTTGGAAAGAGATATTAAATAAAGCTAGTAAACGTTTGATAATAGAGGAGGATTGGTACTCAATTCTAACATAAAAGCTCTTCATCAGCTCCCATCAAGGAGGTTAAAACTGAGCGTCATTAGTCTCACATCAGCGGAGGTATCAAATGATGTTATTTTGCATGAACAGAAAATAAATTAAAGGGTTAATAGCCATTTAGCCCTGTCATATAAGTCATTTTCGAAAAACTCCCAGTAAAAATTTTTACAGGGTTTCTCCTAACATTTGAAAAATATCTCTCTTTAAATCTTTGGCAGGCCAACTCATCAAAAATGATGATGTGGCAATTATTTATATATTTTTTCATTAAATTTTATTTCCACGTGTGTTAAGTGACATTTGAATGGACAATTTTACCCTTATCTGAGAAACAAAACCTAATCGTATAAGGTTGTCACCGTTTACATCTCTTCTTCAAATCCCTAATCTCTTTCTCCTTCCATCTTCACCTGAAACATTTCTTATTCGAATCCCCAATCCTTAATCCCTTTCTCCTTCCACCTTCACGTGTCATATCGTCTTCCTTCACTCGCGGTTTCAATAAACAGCAATGAAAACCTCAGATTGTTCACACTCAAGCATATCTTCAAACGACAAAAGAACTCTGAAATATGGTCATAATCTTCCCATGAAGTTGTTTTTTTCAAAATCGATTGTAAATCCTTGAAGAAAGTACTGGAAGTGTAAGTTTTGGGGTAAATAGGATGATTGTCAGTTATTCCATTGGCATGATGCATTTTTTGGTGAAAGAGAAACAAACACAAATGGAGAAGTCCTAGATCTGATGAAGAAAATGGACACAGATGGAAGAATTGAAAAGTAAGGTTGAAGGCTTAAGGAAGAAGATGAATTTTGTGATACTTTTAATTATTGCTACCTGTTTTTTATTTCTTATAGGTTCATGTAACATATACTAGGTTTATGTTATATTTTGAATTAATGAAAGATCAATTGTAATTTATTGATGTTGAATTAATGAAAGATGATGTTGACTTAGTAAAATTGATCATTTATGTTGTGTAATGTGAAGTTGTCATAAAATTGGTGCATAATTATGCCTTTCAAAATGAATAATGGGACATTGATGAATAACAGATTTGTACACCCTATCACTGCTCCTTTTAGGTCCTTGAGTATTCATGTTATCAACCATTTTATTTTTATCAACAACTTTGCAAAGTCTCTTATTCTTCTTCTGATTTACATTGGCAACTGTTTGTGCAACATGTGTAACGTCCTAATTCTACCCGACAATTATATAAGATCAGAGTTACAAAAATTCAACAACTAAATCAGGATGCTACAATTTCAACTTAAGACAACGATATTCATTACAGATATATAACACATTAAACTTGGATGAACCAACGGCAACATAAATTAATCTTTTAAAATCAACAACTTTCATAACTACGCAGCGGAATCATAACATTCAACCAAAAAGGGCATAGCATCTTTATCCAACTCGAAACAACCTCAAATAACAATTGCATAACAAAAATCAAATTAAAATTCAACAACTGAAGTAATGACAACAATAAAGCAACAAACGTTCATCTTCCAGAGTGTTACGTATCAGAGCGACGGCACCGACTCGAACTAACGAAGGTAAACAACCTTCACTCTGGATTACCTGCACATTACCAACATAGGGGTAACATTCAAACAGAAGGGGTGAGATATCAAACAATATAACCGGATGTATGATAATTAATATATTA